ACATAAGAGCTCACTAATACATGGGTCAGTATTCATTATACCTATATTGACTTATCTATTATACTCTTTGTATCTGCTGGTTTGTAATATACACTGGATATAATGTGTTATCCCACCTTTGTATTGCAGTTTAAATCCATGGCCCAACGGGAGGCTACGTGCTATGCCTATGTCGGACTGTGATCCGTAGTTGTATATGCCTTGATATGCCTTTCTTCTAATAAAAGTATTTTTTGGAAAAAAAAAGTAAAGAAAACTTTGGTAAAGTATTAAGGATTATTGTGGGGAGTGACTTTTGGGGGTGGGGGGACCTCTGTATCATCTTCCCAAATTCTTATGTTTAAGTGACCCTGTGCCTGTTAGGGTACAGGGTGTGTATGTGAATGTCTATTGTGTATTGGTGTGTTGTCCTTTGTTCTCGGCCACATGGCTGTCTATTGTCCGTTTGCCATGTGCTGCCTCATTGTTCTGTGTCTTGGTTGGATGGGGAGGGGTGATGATGTGTTTCCTGTAGCCCTCTCCACTGATGGGGTGGGCTGATGATGTGTTTCCTGTTCCTGGTTTGTGTTTCCCCGTCCTGTGTATATAACTGGTTGTGTGTATAAAATATAGGAGTTGACTTCCTGTTTTAAGAAGAGTCGGGTGCTGTCTATTTCCTGAGGGATTTCAAGGGTGTGGTCTGTGGATTTGTGTTCGGATAGGGAAGCTTCAGTATAACGGAATATACCCCAGTGCGGTCTGGGGTCTGGTTCCATTACAATCATGTTTCTGATATTTCAGCTGGATTTTCTGGAGAACCCCATAGCAAGGTATTTTGTTTGCTCCCCTAAATACAAGGTAGACTCATTGAGATTTTTGGCTCTTGCCAGAGTACACCCCACACCTGAAGGATGTACAAATTGAAGGCAACAAAGCCACCGGTCTCACTATATGTGATAGTTTTACTTCTTTTTTGAACCTCAGTTAGATTAATTTCTACTAGGTTTAGGTTTTTGACTGATAATTATCTATCCTGCTTATCATCACGGTCATGATAACTAGCTTTACTGTGTTTCGTTGGCCTGCTACTTTTTTGCACATTATTGTTTTTAGTTTTGTTTTCTTTTTTTCCCTTCAGGATGTGAGCTGAACAGCAGGAAAGAACATTTACAAGTTTAGGTTTATTGCTCCTCCTTCCTTATGTTGGGGAATGCAGGTGAGCTCTCCAGTTCATGTCCCCCTCTTCTTCCACAAGCCAATTTATTCTAGATTAATTGGTCTGATTTTTATGTCTTGTCAGCCCTTACCTGGAAGGCAGTGGTTGCACCTCTGAAACGGGATTGTGACTTGTGGTCCTGTCTGGAGCACATAGGGTATTGAACCACTGTGTTACTTGGGCCCTACATCATCTTCAACTGGCTTGTTTTGGCTGGTTCCAACCAGCTTGTTCCGGTCTGGATGATGTGGCTTCCTGTACCATGACAGCCCCATTTGTAGTGTCATTCTTGGGCCTAGGTACTGTAAACTATGGGCCTGCCAGCTTTGCATTTCCCAGCTTTGCATCAGTCCTTGTCTTCAGCACCATGTCCGTCTGTTTATGTGTGGTGCCCAGAGGCAAGCAGGGGGAGCCTGCCCCAACACCCTGGGAATATAATATGAGATGTTTATTCGAATTTACCCACAGTGTGTGGGGGGGGGGGCTCTGTGGGATGCCACTTTATTCATACCCAGTTGCTAGTGGTTCATTTCATGTCCACCACCCAAGAGTGCTGGTCACATGTTCCATCTCTGTTAAGGGGCATGTTGTTGGTGGACTTTTTTCTGTCATTGCACCCTGCATGTGAGGGTTTCTTCTGGGATCCTGATGTTGCCAGATATGTGGTCGGCTGTGCTAGTCTGTATTTTGGGGCATTATCATATATCCTTTCCTTGTAGAGTTTCATTTTTTACCTTAGCCATTAGGTTCCCTCCAGCCAGTGCCTAGTTGTACCTGGTTGACTTTTGGTTTGTTTCTCTTTCTGTGCTATATCCCCATTTTGGGGAGTCCTTCAGGGTTTTTATGGACTCCTACTTATATGATATTTAATCATCATATGAGATTTGGATTATTGTTACATTATATATTTCTTCTCTTAGATCTCCCACTTTTATCTGGGTTCCTGCTGTTCCCTCTGGTTTTTGATGATTATATCCATGGACTCGACAAAGCACAACTGGACATGGACTTGACAAAGCGCAACTGCGCAAAACATGTCATCTTGGTAACCCTACATATGCTCCCAGCTGAAGCCAACGCCGGACACTGCCTTCACTTGCCATGGTGACACCACTCAGGACGCTGGTACGCTGACACCAAGTGATTTGAAGCCGACAGGAGCATTCTCTGATCTCACCTCCCCTCAGAGCGGACGGCCCGTCCATTGGAGTCACACTGTCCACTTCAGGCTGGTCAATTTTATTATATTTGCTACTTTGTCTCACCCAATAAAGATGCACCTTCACTAAGGTGCTTGTCTGAGATCATTTTCCACAGCGCCTCTTTTTTTTTCCAGTTCTCTTCTCCTAGACCTGTAAGTCCTTTCAAATTTGTTGTACCTGGTTGACCTTGGTTTGTTTCTCATTCTGTGTTAAATCCTCATTTTGGGGAGTCCTTTAGGGTTTTTATGGACTCCTACTTATATGATATTTAATCATCATGTGAGATTTAGATTATTGTAACATTATATATTTCTTCTCTTAGATCTCCCACTTTTATCTGGGTTCCTGCGCTTCCCTCTGGTTTTTGATGATTATATCCAGTCCCATATCTCGGGTATACCATTTTCTGATGTTGTGCACCTTAGGTCTATTTCAGCTCTTTGGCATCTTATTAGGTCCCCCCACATACCGTTTGGGGCTCCTCATTGGCCCCCTGGATCAGGAGTCATTACTGTGCCACAGTGTTGGTAAGTATGCAGTTTTTTTTCTGCTGTGGACAGGAATATTTCATGGGATCTGTGAAATTGTACACTTTGGAGTAGGTTTCCCTTTCTTGGTTTTTGTCTTTAGTATTGGTATTGTGGATTCTATCTGTTTTGTTTATTACCAACAATGATTCAACAACTTTAAAAAATGTAAATTGTCACGATTTCACTTGAAGTTTTCCTGCCTGTGAAGTCTTACCTACTTTCTGCAATGCTTCTCCTAGACCTGTGATTCTTTTCAAATGTGTTGTTTGGCTTCTGTGCTCACCTACGGGCATTGCCTGTTATTCTGAGGGTTTATATTTCCCTTCCCTTTCATTACTTCCTCCCAGTTTGCTTCCCTATATATACATATGTTCAGTGCAGCCCGCATTGCCTGAGCAACTTCCCAGTTCTCTGAGCTGGTGTTTGACGACTATTACGTGTTTTGAATGTCTGACTTTCCATGTACTGACCCCAGCTTAGTCTTGCCTGCCACCCCCACCCCGACCTGGGCTTGTTTCGTGGATTTCCTTCTGTCTCCTGTTTGTACTCTGCACATCTGAGTGTTCTCTGCATCCTCAGTTGGGGGTACCTGGTGGCTGTGAGCTGATTCCATTCAAACCATTAGAGGAACTGGTGAAGAAGCAAGCTGGGGATTAGACTCTGTGCTCCGGGGAACAATGAACAGGCGATCTACAAGGGCTCACTATCAAAGAAACCTGACATAGATGGTCCTGATGAAGCAGGAAGCCCCATGAAACGCGTAGACCATTTATCTTACTGTAACTGTTCTGTTACTCCATTTCTATTGTTTTTAATATGATTATTGTATACACCTATTGACAATTATATACCTAATCTTTTGTAAAATTTGTTGGATTTTAATTGTATTTTGCAACTATTTTATTCACATATTTACTCCCATTGGCATATACACTCACTGGCCACTTCCCATGTTAACCACATGGCAGCAACTGAATGCATTTAGGCATCTAGATGTGGTGAAGACGACTTCCTGAAGTTCAAACTGAACATCAAAATGGGGAAGAAAGGGGATTTAAGTGACTTTGAACGTGGCATGGTTGCTGGTGCTAGATGGGCTGGTCTGAGTTTTTAAAAAACTGCTAAACTACTAGGATTTTTACGCACAAGGTTTACAGAGTGGACCAAAACACAGAAAATATCCAGTGAGCGGCAGTTTTGTGGATGAAAATGCCTTGTTGAGGTTAGAAGAGAATGGGCAGACTGGCTCAAGATGATAGAAAGGCAACAGTAACTCCAATAACCACTCGTTACATCCAAGGTGTGCAGAAAACAATCTCTGCTATGAAGAATTAAGGCACTTCTGAAGGCAAAAGGGGTCCAACCCCAGTATTAGCAAGGTGTACCTGTGTGTAAGGTCCCACTTATTTCTTTGCTTTGCTTAGCGATATTGCTCCTACATTTGCTGACCAGCCATTCTGGACAATGTTACAGAGCCGTTCCGGGACTACCACTGCACAGTCCTGGCCAGATTTTCTGTGCGCAGTGTGGCAGTGCGGTATCCTGCCACGGTGAAAATCACGGTGTGATAACCCAGGATTCTCAACTATACAGGTTGAGGGCCTCCAGGCAATTCTCTTAATGCAGAGGAAACTGGTTTATCAGTTTCTTCTTTGGTTTGTAAAGCCTGTTTTGGGACCTGTGGCCTGGAGATTTCTAAGTGATTTGGGAGGGGTGAAATCACCAATCCTGGGACTATGTTTTGAAAGCAGCCAGCACACTGATTGTACAGGTGTGTGCAGGCCTTTTTGTAGAGGCCAAACCATGATTCTGGGCTCTACCCCGGAAGACAGGAGGTCATTGCCCTGGAGTCAGGAGGGCTCCACCTAGGAGAGGTGGAAGCCAGAGCAGCAAGGGGGCTGCTAGCTGTGTGCAAAGGGGCTGCTAGCTGTGTGCAAGTGGCTGAAAAAAAAACTCTACGCTTGATGCTAGTTCCCACAGCAGTTCCACCTGTCCTCAGAAACTGATTAATAACATTTTCTGTCTGTCAATTCGTTTTCACAGATGACACATCAAAAGAACCAGACCATTTTTATGGAAATCCTGATTATTGGATTCGAAAGTTTCACTGATTACAAAATTCCACTCTTTCTTCTCTTGCTGATAATCTACACATTAACCTGCATTGAGAACCTCTTGATCATCTTTTTGGTTAATAAATACCCTCATCTCCATTCTCCTATGTACTTCCTGATCAGTAATTTGCTCTTTTGTGAATTTGTCTATACTACGAACCTGGTTCCACTGATGCTGCATGACTTACTGTTGGGAAGAGGGGTCATCTCCTTACTTGGTTGTGTTGTCCAAATTAACGTATTGGGAGTTTTGTCAGACGTGGCGTCTTTTCTGCTTACATTAATGTCATATGACAGATATTTGGCTATCTGTAAGCCTCTGAGATATTCCGCTCTCATTCACAATAGGCTGTGTTTGTATTTCATTATTTTGTTTTGGTTGATCTCGTTGATGATTGTGGCAGGGATATCTTACTTTCTGCTTAATCTGGAATTTTGTGGCCCTGTGATCATCGACCACTTCCATTGTGACTTCAACAACATAAAATCCTCGGCATGCTCGGACATAACGTCGTTCGACTTTTTTGTCTTCGTCATCAGCATTTCGCTGACAGTTGGACCTTTTGTATTGATTGTTTTATCTTACGCTTTTATCATAAACGCAATTCTCAAGATAAAGTCCTCATCGGGACGCCAGAAAGCCTTCTCCACCTGCAGCTCACATCTCCTGGTGGGGGACTTTGTATTTTTGCACAGTTTTCATCTTGTATGTGGTGCCAAGAGGCAGCTATTATTTCCAAGTCTATAAAGGGATGTCCTTTGTCTACTTTTCAATTACTCCGCTGGCAAACCCCATCATTTATACTTTAAGGAATCAGGATATTCATAAAGCTATGAAGATGACGATAAGTGAAATAAAACGACTTTGTACTACAAAAATACATTAATAATAAACATTGTTCATATTGTACTGCGTTATTCACTGTTGTGTTCTTACTGCTACTTTAACCGTTTCCTCGCCACCCTATAGCAGAAATACTGCTACAGGACGGCACGGGAGTACAAAATTTGTGGCCCCGGCTGTCAATCATTGGATTCCTGCCGGTGATTCTCTGCCGGCACCCGAGGATTCAAGGATTTCCGACGGGGGAGAGACCTTTATGTAAACAATACGGATCTCTCCTGTCAGCTCCTGCACAGGGGCGGACTGACCATTGAGCACTTGGGCACTGCCCGAGGGCCCGGAGTCAGTAGGGGGCCCCATGAGATGCCCCTGGTACCTTTTTCATAGGCTTTTTTGAGTTTGGGCAAGGACACAGGGGCCCCATGATCCCCTATTGCCTGGGGGCCCCATGAGTTGTCAGTCCACCCCTGTTCTTGTACACTGCTTTGTATGGCTCTGCATAGCAGTGTGCTTACAGTTGAACAGCACACAGCCCACATAGTAAAACAGCTCAGTTAACCCTTTGATCGCCCCACATGTTAACCCCTTCCTGCTCGTTGCCATTAGTACAGCATCAGTGCTTTTTATTAGCACTGATCACTGTATTAGTGTCACTGGGGATGTCCCCAGTGACACCAAGTCAGTTCCCCACCCAGTGGCAGAATGCCCGCCTCAGTCCTGCTCTAAGTCGCTGATCGCCACCATTACTAGTAAAAAAAAATTAAAAATCCCAGTCTATATACCGCCATTTGCAAAAGCAATAACGTTCACGTAAACCAATTGATTTACGCTTATTGGGATTTTTCTTAGCAAAGACACGAAGCAGACTATGTTTTGGCCTAAATTTATGACAAAATTTGATTTTCTTATTTTTTTTCACTGGACATGTGGACATGTTTAATAGCAAAAAGTCAAAAATATAGTTTTTTTTTTTCTAAATTGTTGGCCATTTGTTGTTTTATAGCGTAAAAAAAATAAAAAATGCACAGGCGATCAAACACCACCGAAAGAAAGCTATATTTGTGGGGAAATAAGGGCGTAAATTTAATTTGGGTGCAGCATTGCATGACCGCGCAATTGTCAGTTAAAGTAACTCAGCGTGGTATTGCAAAAAATGGCCAGGTCCAGAAGGGGTGCTCTGGAGTGCAAGTGGTTAATATTTCCGAGACAAAACAAAAGATACCATTTTTGGTACCAAAGGGTTTTAAGTTAAAAGCGATTCATCTGATAAATATACTGTGCAGAAGTCGCCAACTGTCTGCAGAGTCAATAGCTAAAGACCTCCAAACTTGGTGTGGCCTTCAGATGAGCCCAACAACAGTGCGTAGAGAGCTTCATGGAATGGGTTTCCATGGCCGAGCAGCTGCATCCAAGGCTTGCTTCACCAAATGCAATGCAAAGCGTCGGATGCCGTGGTGTAAAGCACGCCACCACTGGACTAGCTAAAGACCTCCAAACTTGGTGTGGACTTCAGATGAGCCCAACAACAGTGCGTAGAGAGCTTCATGGAATGGGTTTCCATGGCCGAGCAGCTGCATCCAAGCCTTCCACCACCAAGTGCAATGCAAAGCGTTGGATGCCGTGGCGTAAAGCACGCCACCACCAGACTCTAGAGCAGTGGAGACGTGTTCTCTGGCGTGACCAATCAGGCTTCTCTGTCTGGCAATCTGATGGATGTGTCTGGGTTTGGTGGTTGCCAGGAGAATGGTACTTTCCTTACTGCATTGTGCCAAGTGTAAAGTTTGGTGGATGGGAGATTATGTTGTGGGGTTGTTGTCAAATGATTTAGAGGGGTGTCCCAATATTTTCGGCAATATAGTGTATGTATGTGTGAGAATTTATGTGTAAACGTATTGTAACGAGGCCCAACCACTATGTGAATTTAGGTAGTGAAGGCAGAATGACACAGGGTTCTACTCAAGCCGTAATGTGAAGCTCCAGAGTAGTTTATGAGTGGAGAAAGCTGTGCTTTGAGCCTTCTCCTGGTTTGGTCATCCCCAATCAGGGCCTGTGGGATGGAACCCTCAATCCTCTGTTCAGGTTTCCTGAAGTCCTGCAGGTTGTGTTTGTGTCCTGGTGCACACACTCATTATAAGTCAGTCTGAGGATAGCTCAGGGATTCTGTCATTCAGAAACACAGCAGCATGTGTGCGAGGATAGAGGTGTGCTCCAGCCAGGAGAGGTGACCTACTTGGGAGACAAGACTGTGTTGCAGAGATTCCCTTCCCCGTAGGACAGGAGAGTTGAAACAGCTAACTGAGGCAGCAGAGAACCAAGAGAGCTGAAGCAACTAGAGGGTCCAGGAGGGGGATCTGTACATATCAAGTGGGAGAGCCCAGGGGTGCTGGGAGACCCTATCCAGAGGCCAAGAGTAGCCTGCTAACGCGAGGTGCTGTGAGTAAAGGCTAGGTGAGCTTGAAGAACCCGTGGTCTGAGGGACTGCTGTAAAGAGCAGTGATACTGCTGAAATGAGAGCCAGGTGGCTTGGTAATTTCAGTTCCTTGTTTTGCTGTGTGAAACTTTGTACTAAAGGATACGTTCACCTTTTAACAAAAAATAATATTTGTATTGCAATGAAAAATGTGAACTTATTATTCTTTGTTTGTGAAGCTTCTAAAGCATTGCACCAGTGACCAGTAGATCACTGGCATCATGTAGGTCTCCTTCTGACCTGCCAGTATATCTGCTTACTTGTACATCCCATATGGGTCAAATGGGCGGGGAAAGGGGCCCTATATCTTGCCTAAATAGGACCTCATGGCCATACTTGGGCTTTGATGTCACCGCTATCCCCACACCTTGCTGTTGACAGCTCGGGAGCGGTTATTTACACTAATTTTATTATCAGGATCAATTGTGTGCAGTGGTTCATTTGTTTTTGTTTTCTTTTTTGTTTGTTGGTTTTTTTGGAGGGGGGGGGAGTTGGAGACAGTAGGCATCAAATGATGATGGATTTACTTTCACTTTTTTTTTAATGAAGGACTTGTCAAACAGTTGGGTATCTAATTTTAAGCTACAACTTTTTCTTCTGTGAATGAGGAACAGTACTATGTGCCCCATACTCATTCACAAGAGGGGGTATCTGGGGTCCCCCTTATTATTAAAGGATTCCTGATTCAAATGAACCCTCCCACAACAAATGGACAAGAGTAGTGATGGGCCGAACACCCCTCTGTTCTGTTCACAGTCAAACATTCAAACCTAACGAAAGTTTGACCACAAACTTCGAACAGAACAATTCACTAAGCGGCATCTTACCACATCCAAGTATGCAGTAAGATACCTCACAGCATTTCCCCCCCCAAAAAAACTACTAAAATATTGTGTAAAGTCATGCTGTATTCTAGTAGTGAAAACATGCTATAATGTTTCCGCTGTCAGTGGGGTTCCCCGCTGACAGCTGAATGTAAAAATAAATTTGGGACCAAAAAACCAGCATGGACCCCCCATCCATGTGAAGCCCTTCAGGTCTGGTATGGATTTTGAGCAGAACCACCATATGCCACAATCCATATCAGACCCTTATCCGAGCATCCCAATGTTGATGAGGACAAGTGCTTCTTTCCCACAACCGTGGCTGGTGGTTGTGGGGGTCTGCGGGTAGGAGCTTATCAGAATCTGGAAGCCCCCTTTAACAAGGGGTCCCCCAGATCCCAGCCCCCCCCCCATGTGAATGAGTATGGGGTACATGGTACTGCTACTCATTCACAAAAAAAAAGTGTAGTGTAAAAAAATGACAGGAGACAGTCTTTGACACTTTGAAAACAAAAATAAATAAACTGTCTCCCGATGTCAATCACGATGCCCACCACCGCCAACCCAGAAAATGAAAAAAAAAAAAAGGCTCCACTCTTGATGTTGGCTCCCGCCCTCTGACAGCTGCACCGGCCTGACAGTTCTTAAATATATAAGGGGTAGGGCCACTGAGTGAAGTCAACCGGGTAACCCTGCCCCTTTGTGATGTAATTGTGTGCTGTGATTGGCCAAAGCATTTCACCTGACCTGGGATTGGCCAATCACAATACACTCTCTGTCAGGAATGGACTCAGAACTGGTGGTGGGACTCACCTGCCGTGTAGGCTGCAGTACCAGGGCTGACCAGCGGGTGCTCTCAGCAGCCAGAAGCTCACTCCTGCAGTCAACCAACACCTGGGGCTGATTGCAGGAGGTGTATTTAAGGAATGACCAGGCCTGTGATCTGGGCTTTGGTGTATGTTTCCCATGAGCCCCTGTACCTGGTATCCTGTGTTCCTGCTTATCTGCCTAGTTGCTGACCCTGCTTTGATCCTGACCTCTGCTGACCATCTCCTGTTGAACCCCTGGCTTGCCTGACCATCCTTCTGCCTGATCCTCTGTACCGCGCTGCCCGTGAGTTACTGAACCTGGCTTGTGACCCAGACTATTCTCTGCCTGCTCCTCCAGTACCTCACTGCCCGCACATTGCTGACCTGGCCTGCCTGACTACGCCTGACGCTACCCAGACGATCCATCCATCCCACACGGATCCAGTCACTACTGTCCAAACCTGCCAGCCCCTTCACGTCAGGCTTTCCCCCAGCACATACCCTCGGCGGACCCCTCTACCACAGTTGGGTGCACTCAGGGGCCGCGACCTGGTCTCAGTCCAGCGCCAAGTCCATCCCCACCATCAGGGGCTCTGGTGAAAAGGCAGACTGGGGCTTAGACTCCGCGCCCTGGGGAATCCTGTTCTGTGGGTTACTAGAGATCCCACCGGGCAGTGCCTGACAGTACCTTACGGCCCGCCTGACCATTCCACCTCTCCAGCCCTGACTACGCCTGTGTTCCTGAAGCCTGCTACTTTCCTGTGTCAGTCCACACATTTCTGGTCACACCCGGATCCCTGA